GGTTTCAATGTCCACATTCTAGTCAGACTTATTATTCTTCTGTGTAATAGGAATATGTAGTATGCTAGGAACTGCATTGCAGGTTCATTTGAAGAATACAGTCTCCTTAATAATAGTAAGTCTTGCAATTCAATTAATGGAATTTATGAAGCTTTATAACTTCATACATTGGTGATTTGCAGTTGTCAGTGATCTTTACATGACTTTATAAATTATCCGTTTTTATTATTTTTGATGTTATTGTAAATTAAATCAGATAGTATTTTATAGCTTTTTCTTACTATAGTTTTGAATTTCCAGTATAAAACTTAACGTAAGTGTAAGAACCCTGTCTGTATCTGACCTTAAGGAATAGCCATGAGTATTTCACCACCAAGCATAAAGTTAGCTGTGAGTATCATACAGATGTCCTTTTCTATACTTAACTCCTATTCTATGTTGGTATAGTTGATGATATCCTACATTTTTCAGAAACTCTTCATTTTTCTTCATTCCTTTTGCTTCTCTTTCTCAGACTGGGTAACCTCAATTAATCTATTTTCAAGTTTTAAGTTTGCTGATTCTTTCTTCTGCCAACTTGAATATGTCCTTGCACTCTTCTGTGAATTTTCTATTTCTTTTACTGTTTTTTCAATTTCAGAGTTTCCACTTCTTTTGATGATTTATATCTTTCTTTGATATGCTCTTACTTGGCTAAACTTGTTCCCATACTGCTTTTTAACAATTTAGACATAATTTTCCTTAATTCTTTGAACTTGAAGGTTATATGAGATAAGTCTATAGCAAACATCATACTGACGATAAAAAGCTGGTCTCCCTGGCAATGCAATAAATTAGAGCTCTCCGCAGCCACCATAGCACAAGTTCAGTCCCACAAGGTGTGTCAGACCTCTCCTGACCTACCTGCTGCCCCCCCCCCCAGCAGTGTATTTCAGTAGATCTGCCTGCTCTGTTCCCCACTCTGTCTCTGGTGAATCCTCTCACCTTCCCATGCCTCCGACCTATACCTCAGTTTTTGTGCGCATAAATAAATAAATCTTTAAAAACAAAGGAGCTCTCTGATTATTGCCATAAAAGAACAGTAAAAGAAATAAAAAATGCAACACAAGAGTGCAGATGAATTAGAGATACACCTACTGATTGATTAATTAAGCAATCAATTGATTTGCTAAAACTTCACTGGTGAGAGATTTAAAGCAAGGAAAAGATATCATTTCAACTTGCATAGGGAAAAAAAATTAAGGTAGGTCCCAAGAGAGTGAATAACAAGCACAAATATATCTCTAGACACTCTTTTCCTTTTATAAGCAATAAGTGGATCCTCAAGGATCAAGAAAAACAAGACAATTCCTGAAAGGCTCTGCTTATAACAACTCCATTCTTCAACAAACACTATCAAGGATCTTTATCACAATTATTTTATCTCTGATTATTGCCTAAACTATCTCTTCCTTCTAAGAAATAAAAAAGAAACTTCTGAGAAGCTTCAATTTGGAGTTCCTTTTGCTGATCCTGGTAATAAGGTAATAAGGTTATGTAGTGTGTATATGTGTGTATACGTGTGTGTATATGGTATATGTGTGTGTGTGTGTGTGTGTGTGTGTATACATTTAGGATGAGATGGATAAAATAGAGGAAAAGATGTAACATTTAAACATACTAGACCAGGAAAAGAAAGTTCTTGAAAATTAACTAAAGCAAAGTTCTGAAAATATTTTGGGATGATGTACAAGGTGATTAGCATCTCAAAATAAAAAGAACTTTTTAGGGACATCCTGTAAAATACCAGTGTTAAAATGCTCCCACCACAATTAGTCACAAACTATTTTGATATACTACAATCTGGGTAGATTTTCTCTGAGTTGGTACTAAATCTGTAGGGACACAATATAGGTTGTTTGGTTTTTTTTAAGTCTATTAAATAAAATTTCATAAGTGATGGGCCCTCCCTGGTGGCTCACCGGGTTAAAGCACTGCACTAAGAAGCTTAAGCCAATTCTGCATGAGTTCAATCCCCTCCTGCCCCGGAGAAGATCCACA